TTGACACCAGCACACCTGTGACCACTTCTACCCAAGTCAGTTCTTCTCCTACTACTCCGGAAGGTACCAGTATGGCAACCTCGACTCCTAGTGAAGGAAGCACTCCATTCAGAACTTTTCCTGTCATCACCACATCTGTGACCAGTTCTGCGGGCAGCATTCTTTCAACACCTTCCGTTGACACCAGCACATCTGTGGCCACTTCTACCCAAGTCAGTTCATCTCCTACAACTCCTGAAGTCACCACCATGCCAATCTCTACTCCTAGTGAAGGAAGCACTCTATTAGTAACTATTCCTGTCAGCACCACACATGTGGGCAGTTCTGAGGGCAGAACCCTTTCAACACCTTCTGTTGACACCAGCACACCTGTCACCACTTCTATCCAAGTCAGTTCATCTGCTACAACTCCTGAAGGTACCAGTATTCCAACCTCGATTCCTAGTGAAGGAAGCACTCCATTAGCAACTATTCCTATGAGCACCACACGTGTGACCAGTTCTGAGGGCAGCACCCTTTCAACACTTTCTGTTGACACCACCACACCTATGAGCACTTCTACCCACAGCAGTTCATCTCCTACAACTCCTGAAGTCATCATCATGCCAATCTCTACTCCTAGTGAAGGAAGCACTGCATTAACCTCTAGTCCTATCAGCACCACACGTGTGACCAGTTCTCAGGGTAGCACCCTTTCCACATCTTCTGTTGACACCAGCACACCTGTGACCACTTCTATCCGTGTCAGTTCATCTCCTACAACTCCTGAAGGTACCAGTATGCCAATCTCGACTCCTAGTGAAGAAAGCACTCCATTAACAACTATTCCTGTCAGCACCACACGTGTGACCACTTCTGAGGGCAGCACCCTTTCAACAGCTTCTGTTGACACCAGCACACCTGTGACCACTTCTGTTCATCTCCTACAACTCCTGAAGTCACCACCATGCCAATCTCTACTCCTAGTGAAGGAAGCACTCCATTAACCACTAGTCCTGTCAGTACCATCTGTGTGACGAGTTCTCAGGGTAGCACCCTTTCAACACGGTCTGTTGACACCAGCACACCTGTGACCACTTCCACCCAAGTCAGTTTATCTCCTACAACTTCTGAAGGTACCAGTATGCCAATCTCGACTCCTAGTGAAGAAAGCACTCCATTAACAATTTTGCCTGTCAGCACCACATCGGTGACCCTTTCTGATCCTAGCACACCTTCAAAACGTCCTGCTGACACCAGCACACCTGTGACCACTTCTACCCACATCAGTTCATCTCCTACAACTCCTCAAGGTACCAGTATTCCAACCTCGATTCCTAGTGAAGGAAGCA